GGAAGGGGGGCAGGGAATCAATAAATTAAAAATCACAGCTTTCATTTTATAAAAAATAGTTTGAATAATCTTATAAATTTTTTATGCTTACAAAAGCAGGAAATATATTTAAAATAGTCTTTTTAACACATATTCATTAGTACAATGTGGCGATGGTCACAAAAATGGCATCTACATTCTCCTTAGCAAATTCCACATAGAATTTAACCAGTTTGCAATTCAAAACCAGATTTAACTATCAACAAGGCCAGACTAGTTGTAGCTAGAACCCAAACATCAAGCTTTGTTCCATTTAATATATTTTACCAAAAATTTAAATACAGCTCAAATGATAGGTACTGATAACAATACTTGACTGCATGGTACCACCCATGACTACTGCACTGCAGTTCAAAACAGATTTTGGTCAGTAAATTAAAAATACATAAATCAAATTACAAGGCCAGAACAGTTATTTTAGAACCAGTTTCCTGACCTTAACTTTACACATATTGACAAGGCAAGGAAAAATATAATCCAATATATAAAGAGAAGTCTCTATTTTTAACCATTTGGCATTTTATAGTAACAATTTCCTTCTTTAAAATAGTATTTTATACTCCTGTGCACCAATTATCATAGCTCTCTGAATTAAAACTAGTTACCTTTCTAGAATGTCCAGTAGTGAAAGCATTAATTGCTTCTTTTGCACTTCCATGAGGATGGTCCTTCATCTTGTAACTTTTTAAATTTTGGACCAAGAAAGAACCACCAACCAAATCCGATAAAGACACAAATAATGGACTCCACGTAATAACCGTCCAGGGCTGTAACACAGGAACCTCCGAGCTTTTTGCAAAGCTTTAAAAATAAAATTAGAATAAATATTCCACAATTTCAAAAATGAAAGGACTCAGCAATTTAAATGTTACTATTTTACAATTTAAAGGATTAATCAAAATATGCTTTTGTTAAAGTATTTCAACATTTCTTTCACTTCACATGGTAAAACATGTTAATGCATCTTGCCTCTGTAATGCTACTAATGCGATTAAACACAACTTCAGCTCTTGCTGTAAACAAAACTCATTTTCAAGATATAGCTTTTCATGTTTGGGAAATGTGAGGAAATTTCCAGTAAGTCCACTCTAGAAGTAGGCTAGTGTTATTTCGAAAAAACTTACCAATAAACTAGTCATCACTTCAGTGTTAGCTATATGATTATATGAACAGCCAATGGAATTTTCCTTTTCTTTTTCTGTCATTATAAAACTTAGCTATTAATTATGCATTTACAAGTGTCTATCATGCAGGACTGTGATCCTCAAGGTGGAGGAAAGATTGCTTTCCCCTCACTAAGGACCTTCAAGTGAGCTACTCGTNTCAAGGTGGAGGAAAGATTGCTTTCCCCTCACTAAGGACCTTCAAGTGAGCTACTCGTGTTGATTTGAGTGTGTTATAACCCTTAACTACAATGGAAAAGAAAAATTATGAGATTTCTATACTGGGAAGTATGGGCAGATATGATTTTTTAAAAAAGATAAAGTATCTCTTGAGGCAAAATGAGGAAATTGATATCTTAATATTAGCTTAATGTTATCTAAAATTACAACATACTTACCTCAACAGCATCAGGTGTTTGACAATTCTGGTTTGATGCTCCAACACATTCTTCCAATGTTAGGGGATCTACCAGCCACAGAGCTACTGTAGAGGGCCAGTTTCCTCCCAGATTGGACACAGTATTTAAAAGGGTCATATATGTTCCTCCAATAAGTGGATCACTAACCTTTGCATTGAATGCCATTATGGAAACATACATGCTGTACAATGTAACCTGTAAGGAAAATGTAAAACATTTTAGTACAATAAGACTTTATAAAGTTATGATCTGAATTAAGAACATCAAAATCATACACCTGAAAATTAATTTTCATGACTCTTACTAAACTCAAGTCAATGAACATTCATTGAGCACCTACTATAGGCCAGGTTTTAGTTACATCATGACAATACAAAGATGACTAAGACATAGTCTCTCTCTGCCCTTCAAGAACTTATTCTAGGCTGGGAAAATAGGGAATAATTATGATGGAATTCAATAAGTATTATAGACAGATTATGCTACTGAGGCCTAAATAAATGAACAATTAATTTTATCACAAATAATCAAAGGAAGGCTCAAAAGAGAAAATGACAAATGAAGTGTCATTAAAAGATACATATAGCAATAAGCAAAACCCCATATTTGTATAGCTAAATATATGTGTATATGTATACATGTATGAATTATACATGTAAACACTCCAATATGCAAAGCAACATGTTGTATCATTTTATATATATATAATTTCCTTCTACATATATAGAAGAAAAATTACATTTCAAAATTTTTATGCCAAACTAAAGAGAAAAATCACCTTAAGAGGCAAGAATTAACCTTCCATTTAGGAACATGGAAACAAACTGTATTTTAAAAATAGCATTCCTACATCCAAGGTAATACCACCAACAAATGTCCAACCTGGAACTCAATGCCTGGGTGCTTAAGTCAGTGTTCCTTCTACCCTACCAGGTAGACGTGGTGACTAGAGGGAACACTGAAAGCAGCAGAGGCAGTTCTACTCTCCCCATTCTGTCTCTGCAGGACATTGGTTCTATTTTGAACACAAAACACTAGAGGAGGAGTCACAGTTCTTAGCCCAAGCCTCTTTGGTTATCTCAGAGAGCAACATTAAAACAACGCAGCCCTAGGTCAGTGGTCAGCCTCAGGCTTAGGCAAGCTTGGGAAGCAGAAAATCTTACTTTCCAGTGTTCTTGACCAGCTCTTCTGGAGCCCTGGCCCTCTCTTATGAATGAAGACTCTTGAGCTAAGACCTGGGATGTCCTGATGCCTAGATGGAATGTTTACTCCTTACCCAGGAAAGTGACACCTGACACCCAAACTGTATAAGCCAACAGGTCAGTTCCTGGAGAATTCTGATAAGGTTAACCCACAATAGCCATTTCCTGTCATCCCCTTTGTGACCATCCTTTCCTGGGCATTGGGCCCCCCTTATTCTAATCCCTGATTGTCAAAATGAAACTCACTTCTTGCAGAAATAAAGCAGCCTTGCTCAATTAAAAAATGAAAAAAAAAAATAAAAATAGCATTCCTTTGAATACTGTTCCATGGGGTCTCAGAAAAAGGAGTTCCAAAATAAAATAAGACTGAGAAACACTAAGTCACAAAATTAGAGAAGTCCCTTTTACAGTAGGCCTTCTAAGAACTTGTAGGACATAAACTCCTTAAGGGCAGGAATTGTGGTATGATTTATTCACTGTTATACCTTAGCACTTAAAATGCTTCTAACATAGAATAAGTGTAAATTTGTTGAAGGAATGATTAACATGCTACCTAAAGAAGGAGAATGTCATGCATCATTTCTCAAATTTACTCAGCCTTGTACCTTTTCTCCCAAAAAGCATCTAGTAATCTGAGTTTCAGTGAATCCACTTTGGAAAATTCTCTAATGATATACAAAGCCATACAAATAATTTTTGGACTACTGCATCATAGTTTTCCTTTACCTACACAGATAATGAAGCATTTACTAAGCTAAAGCACTTCTTTTAACTTTTATTTTATGTCTAACATGAACTAAGTACATGCAAAACAGAAAAAAATTATATTTGACACTGTAGCCCCAAGGATTTTACAAACATGATCCATTATGGAGTTCTCCTAAATGATACAACTGTATGCAAAGAATTACTGAGATTATCCAGTGGCCACACATTTTGTATTTCAGTTAAAAACAAAATGAGGAGTTGATAGAAGTTATTAAAAGCCAGAGGTTTAAAATTCACTGCCAAATAATTTCTTCAGCATCAAATTCATGCTTAAACCTTATAATTTGTTTTACACAGAACAGTTATTTCCTGAGAAAACCACAGCAAGCTTACCTGATGTAATGCATAGCTTAGCAGCACCGTAATGTAGTAATACACAGGGAATCCCCCTTGATGGCCTACTTTAGGAGTCCACCAAACTAACAGGGCATATTCTAATCCAAGCAATAATCTATTGAAGAAGAAAGAAACTAGAGTTGACTTTCATTTTAGCTTACAAACAACAGCAAAAACAGAAATCTCTGTGCTTACCATATGAAAGAAACCTATGTTTAAGATTTGTTACGAGGTTAAAAAGAGATAAAAAGTGCACAAAGATGATATTGAAATTAAAAATGCTTTTCAAGCCTTTTTCCAATAATACTCTACACAAAGATATTAGTGATACTGATGAATGTTCTCATTTAACCTTATTTAGTAAGGTTTTATTTTATTTTTACCTGTAGGGCATGGCTTTGTAAAACACGTTTAGTGGCTGGGGACCTGCAGTGTATTTGCTGATAATCAGAGGTAATATTATCTGCAAAGGAACCATTGGAACTGCCAATAAGGCTAAATGCTCTTTGGGAACTCCCTCTTCTACCAATTTCAGTCCTGTTACTGCATCTGCTGCTGAAAAACCAATCTGCAATAGAAAAACAAAGAGATATCTTATTTTGTGACTTATGAAATATTGTCCTCCAAGCACATGTGAATCCTTCAAGAACCTCAGTCTCAATACTGACCCCTGCCAGTTGCAAGTATCTATCATATTATTACATCAATCATGTTGGTATAACAATCAATTTACAGAAGGCACACTTTGCCCTATGGACTACCAACAATATTCAGTGAAACAACTAAAAATTCAGCACTCTTAGAACTGTGTAGATGGCTCTAATTACAACTATATTCCCATTTATAAAAGTTCAATCTCTTATAATAAAGTGTCCAAATCCAGACTTATTAATTTGTATGTTTTAAGTTTTAAAGGAAGCTTTTAATTGACTCCAAATAAGTCTGGTTAAAATGAAACCCTGCTGCCACATATACACATTTTTGATGATTTCTGATTGACCATAATAAAATTTCCAAAAGCCATCTAATGTTTCAAAAATAATTCCAAGAAACCATATTTGAGGAGCTAAATAAGATGGGAAGAGAAAGTACAGTTAGTTTCATTCTTAAAAACTACAAAATGACTAACGATACTGAATGTGGTAAGTGTACGTTTTGAGGTGAAGTAAGATATTTAGATAATCTCAAAGTTTCTCCCCATAAACTAGTTTTTGATTACAAAAGCAAAAATAGTAACTTTATAAGTGAACAAAGTAATCAGTTAACAAGAGTTAATGGGATAAAGGAACATAAGGCTCCTGATGTAATTTCCTGAAGGTATCACAGTATTACTTCTGACATTCCTGATATACTTGAATAATCTGAACCTAACCCTAAAGAAACAGACAAACATAAGTAGAAGGCCATTCTACAGAATAATTGGCCTGTACTCTTTAAAATGTCCAGGTCATGAAAGGCAAAGAAAAGCTCATACCAATGAAATGTAATGAGTGATCCTGGCTTGGATTTGTGACCAGGAGAAAATAACGTCATAAAAGCTGTTACTGGGACAACTGGTAAAATTCAGATACGATAATAGATAATTCAGATTAGATAACAGATAACAGTATTGCTTCAATTTAAAATTTCCCGATTTTTCATTAACTTGTGGCTTTGTAAGAAAAATCTTTGTAAGAACAAAGTCCAAATAAGACTTCTTAAGAAGGAAACACATAAGTTGTTTATGAATAAAGAGGTATGACATATACAAATTACTCTCAAGTATTTCAGAATCTGTAAAGAAACACAAATTTACAGGAAGAAGAAAATGGCACTAAATGTTAACAACTAGAGCGTTTAGGTACAGATACATGGAAATATTTTCAATATACAAGTAAATTTTCAACAAGTGTGAAACTATTTCAAATAAAAATGTTTTTAAAGGAATGACAAATACTACTTACTTTCACTTCTTGGAATGGAGCCAAAGAGCAAAGTTCACCATAAAAAAAGTAAAGGTCAAAGATATTTCACTAAAGTCCAAAAAATGATTTCACTTATATTTTACCAATTCTTTTTATAAAAATTAAATATGTAAACTAACTTCAACATTGCTCTGTCTTAAAAGTACTATAGTAGGAGACGGTGCAATACACATATCTAACAAAAAACTCATATCAAGGCACATATAAAAAATAAAAATTCTACAAAGTTAAAGAAAAAGGCAACTCTGGATATTCAAATGGCTAATACCATATGACAAGATACTCAACTTCTTTAGTCACCAGGGAAGTGTAAATAATAACTGTAATGAGATGCCACTACACACCTGTCAGAAAGACTACATTTTAAAAAGATAATGTATATATTTTCAAGACTGTGAAGCAACTGGAACTCTCTTACACTGATGAAGGTAGGGAAAATCCAAATCCTGTGGAACACTGGCAGAATATAGTAATGTATTTCTTATGCCCCAGTAATTCTACTTCTAGGTATTTATCAATCAGAAATATGCACCATGTAATATACATGAGTGTTTGTAAAAGCACTACTCATAATACTTCAAAGGTAGACATAACTTAAACATCAGCTGATAGAATGGATTAGCTGTGATATATTCATACAGTGGAATTTATAAGCAGTGAGATGAACAAACTATTGCTATGATATGGATAAATTATACAAATATAATTTTGAGAAAAGGAATACAAGAGCCAGACATAAGAATACAATACTGGATATTCCATTTATATAAAACTCAAGAGCAGGGAAATCTAATCTATGGTATTAAAAGTTAGGAGACAACTTTTGGTGGGGTTTACTTTAAAAGGGGAACATGGAATTCTAGAATCACCTTCTTATACATTGCTGGAGACAGTATAAATTATTATAATCTTTTAGAAAGTAATTTGCAGTCATATTCACTGACCAACTAATTGTCCATTAAAGAATCTACTAGAAATATTGAAAACAACAATTAAAGACTTACGCATAAAAATTTCACTAGTGCATTTTTACCATTAAAAACATATGAAAACTAAATATACAACAGCAGAAAAATGACTGAGGGAATTATGAGCCCTTATACACTGTGACAATTACATAGCTATTAAAAGTATGTTTTCAATTATTTAATGATACAGGAATATGAAATAATAAGACAAAAACAAGATAAGAAATTACATATAGTATGATACAATTCCACTTTTAAACTACTTGTATGTATATAAATATATATTAATATAAAATTATAATTAATGTATTGATTATGTGTATACATGTAAAATCCATGTACATACACATGTATATACACATGGGGGGAAAGGGAGCTGGACAGAAATATGTCAAAATATTAATAATGGTTACCTCTAAGTGATATAATCAGATGATAATACTACCTTCCTGAAAATTTTCCACATAAAGTTGAAACTTAAGTTCCTTGTTTAAAGCTTTTTAATGTTTCCTTAAATTTAACCCTCTCTATCTAGAGAGGAGGAAAAACTCACTTTTCAAAACAATGAGGCTACAATTTTTACTTCAGGTTTCTCAGAAGATAGCTATAAAGTGTTAATGTAGATAGGCTTAAATATATAATATGAAACTCCTACAACTGATTTAGAATTTAGGAATAGCTCACTATAACAAAATTTGCTCACCTTTCTTCTAGCATAATCTTTAAAATGTCTTACAACTATAAAATTAGGACATCTTAATACAGAAAATGTACAGAATAAAATAAAAGTCACCAAAACCCCCATTTGTCTGATGGTATATTTCCTTCCAACATTAAAATAATAATATTCAATTGATTTTCAAATAGATGTCAAATATTCCTACATTTCTATATCTTTGGTTATGGGCCCAGCAAGCTCCTGCTGCTTGGATCATACTCTAAGTAAATCATTTTACTACCTCTGACATTAAAAGCATACTTTTTATAACAGTAGAGAGCTATTCTTTTTTCAAGGCATTCATTTCCATACTAAGCACTAATATCATTTATTAAATAAAATTTCACACTGGAATTATTCCAAGTTTGTATAATTCAAGATCACAAGACATTTAGCTTACCTTGAAATTATATTTGATGTCATCACACCTTTTAAAACATATTTAATAGACAGAAAGTATTATTTTTATTAAATTCTAAAAGTAGTGGAAAGGACTTATGATACAAAAAGAAAACGGAAGTATTCCATGATAATGGTAATTATAATAGAAGAGTAAATTGCTTCATAAATCTCTTACCTTTGCAGTCAGGATCAAAAGGCAAAATGTCATAACTGCTGGCATTTTTATGATTGCAAAAAGTAGTTTGTAAGTATCTGTGATCCCCTGTGTTTCTTCTTTTCCTACTGACACTTCTTTGTTTTCTTTTTTCAGAAGGGCAACTAGAGTTGTTGTTATCAAAAATACAGTTCCCCAGAAAAAAAGGAAATCTGAAATTAAACATGTTAAAATCTATAATTACATTTTGAAATGATGTATCTTCATTGATAATAAATACTTCTGTTTATCCAACTTTTCCTCAACTAAAATATGTTAAAAAAAATCAACACTTGGGTGCCTATCATGTTCAAGGCACTATACCAGGCACAGAAGATGAACAAGACAGTCCTGGTTCTGTTAAATGTATATTACAATAGACACAAAACGATGATGCCTAAGAAGGAAAAAGGATTACAGATATTTAGTGGGGCTCAATGAAACAAAATCTAGAATGTCATTTTATTCAAGAAGTACTAGGAGTAACAGATGATTTCACAAGATCCATCAGTCACTCTTAAGTACCTATGTCATTTCAGTTCTTTATTAAGTTATGACAACTTAGATAATCATTTATATTAGATTTTCCAACTTTTGTTTTTAAACTTTCTAATGTTTAAATCTGTTTAAGAGCCACTTCTTTAATACCATGATACAGAAGCAATTTCCTCACACCTGTAGGTACACAGTGGGGTCACATGAGTCCTGTTTGTGTTGTTTCTGTTTTAGTGGAAGATTGCTGGACCATCAGCCATTATTTTGAACAAATGAAGCAGAGGGAGTGATTATATCCTAGAAGATTCTATGTAATAGCTAAAAATAATAGTAAAAATAGAGGTACCATTTATTGAATTCACACCATGTGTCCTAACTGTGCTAAGCATTTCACATGTATCATTTCCTTTACTAAAACAACCAACAGATTAGGTTATTACTAGCCCCAGACTACAGCTGTAGAAACAGGCTTAGAGAGGGTATGTTGCCTGAGTTACATTCCAAGTTGGTGGTAAAATTGTGATTTGATACCTTATACAACTAATTTCAGGTATCTCCTTAACCATCCTGAAAAATACATCCTGGCTTGCCACTACAGAACAGTTGACAACCCTTTTCTTCATTTGTAAAACAAGAGGACTTCGCTAGACAATCCGAGAGGCTTTCTAATTGGTTTTATAGGTTTACCTTTTATTTTATTGCTCATGTAGCACAACATGGAGTTCATGGAGGCTAGTCACCCTTTTCAAAAACAAGTCAGGGTTCTCCTGTGTTTTCAGTCTTGCTCCACTGCTGTGCTAGTTGAAGGTGATCACTACTTGAACCTTACTTACAATGCAAGCATATAGCATTGTTTGTTTAGAGCAATTTCACCTTACTATTTAAATGCTTTCTTATATGTTATCACATTTGATTTTCATAGCAAACACATGAGAAAGGCAATGCAGGCATTATTACTAAATAGACATGAGAAAGAGGTTCAGGATATTTAAGTCTTTGCCAAAAGTCAAATTATTAAAAGGTAGAACTTGAATCCAAATCTTCTGAGTTTGGGCTTTATACTCTTCTTTACATCACATGGTCTATGTAAAAACTTAAAAAAAAATTAATGTTGAAGTAAGAATCTACCAGAACTGGCTAATTATTTTAGTCTACACAAGCCTAGCCAAAAACAAGGCCCTGATATTCAAGTTACACAATTAAAGAAGCTAAATGCTTTAAACATATATGGACTCTATAATCGGAGGCAAATTCTTTTTGGGAAAATTTATTATTTATTATAAATGGGGAATTTATAACTACTTTTAGATATCAGAAGAAAACCATGAAACATTCTTAAATGCAAAGATATCCATTTTAGAATGCAGTAATATATATGTCTTACTGATTAAAGTTCATCAAAACATTTAATTTCTAGTGTTTTGTAATCTAGTTCAAAAGGAATGACCAACAATTTAATAAAATTCTTGTAAGTAAGGCTAACATTCATTATTTTTGCATTCTTAGTTTCATCTGTGAAATGTGACAAATAATGGCTTGTTTACAGAATTTCATCTACAATATAATCATCATTCAGAAAGTTTTTTTTTGTTCAACATTGTTTTAAATCAGCTGAAAAAAAACCATATTACTTTCACTGCCATTAGAAATTTCAATTAATGGTCTCTTTATACACATCACGTGAAAAATAAAAGGTTTTCAGTTCTGTACTACTTTAAGAGTTCTAGTTCTCTATGTAAAAAAAGTTTTAGTTTGCTTAGTATGTGCTCCCAGTTTTAAGGAACAAAATCTTCATCTAGAATTTAAGCTCCTTGATCATAATACCAAGAGAAAAAAATAACAAGAACAAGTTTAACAGGTTTCAGTATTGTTTGTAGATAAGATTATTTCTAATTTCTTGTACTTTGGAAAAAAAGCAGGACATGTGAAAGAAGGAAGTAGTTAACCGCATCACTCAGAGTCTTAATTTCAAGGCTTTTCATAGCTCACATGGAAAGAAGAACGAAGCTAATAGCTAAGAAAGAGGTTTAGCCACTGCCAGAAACTATATTAACAAGTTTTATGAATGCAATTACCATAAATACTGACCATTAGACAACTTGCTATTGTTTATTAACATTGCTTTGATGCGAGAATGCCACCCATCATCTGATGTACCTACCACTGTAAAGATAGTATTACCAAACATAATCTAGGTATTTCATTATTATTTTGGTCAACTTTGATTTATGTATTTTATCTGCAAAAGCACTATGATGTATACATGTATGATCAAGATGTCAAAGCTGAAGTTCAAGTTTCACAAGCATGACTTCTGAGCAAAGACCTTCTATAAGACAAACTGAAAATTCTGAATTGACTACTAGATCTTATCTAGTAGTCCCACAAACACAATTTAAGAGCATGTAACAATTCACCTAAAACAAGGTTATAATAGCTGGCACCCAAGTGCTATTATGCCAACACAGAACAGAGCAGTAAATCTCAAAGTCACTCTCGAAGTTAAGCACTATTATTCCTACTTTATACATAAGGAAACAGAATCACAAGCCAGTAAGAGTCAGAGGTGGGATTCAAACTCAGATCTGATTTTAAAGCAAGAATGTCTTCCATTATGCTACACAGATCATACTGCACTCCATTATACTGCACCAACCAAGTAGGCTCTCTTTCCTATCAACTAGATACACCTGAAAAAGGTACCTATTTTAGTTCCAGCTATGAAATCTGGAACATAGATAACTGAGCATATTTCTTTAAACTGGCTACTTGAATTTCCCCTCCCCACTTCCATCTCTCCATGTCAGAGGGTATACAAACCCACAGGGTGAATAAACATGGTCCATTCTCCTAAAGAATTCATTTTATTCAATAACTCATAAGGAAACATTTTAATGAAAAAAATATTATGGAGAAAACAAAAATCCCAAGAAGTTTTAAGGTAAAACATTAGACTTCAAAAAAACTTCATTTTCAAGGCTTTGAACTGGGGCCTCAGTGCCTCTGTGGTACAGGTTCACTTTCTTATACCATTAGAAGAGACAGAAAATTAAGAAGCATGGTCTGATGCACCCCTATGTTTATCACAGCACTATTTACAATAGCCAAGAAATGGAAGCAACCTAAATGTCCATCAGTAGATGAATGGATAAAGAAGATGTGGTACATATACACAATAGAATATTATTCAGCCATAAGAAGAAAACAAATCCTACCATTTGCAACAACATGGATGGAGCTAGAGAGTATTAGGCTCAGTGAAATAAGCCTGGAAGAGAAAGACAAGTATCAAATGATTTCACTTATCTGTGGAGTATAACAACAAAGCAAAAACTGAAGGAACAAAACAGCAGCAGACTCACAGAACCCAAGAATGGACAAACAGTTACCAAAGGGAAATGGACTGGGGAGGATGGGTGGGGAGAGATAAGGGGGAAAATGGGGCATTACAATTAGCACACATAATGTAGGGGCTGGGGGACATGGGAAAGGCAGTATATACAGAGAAGACAAGTAGTGATTCTACAGCATCTTAGTACACTGATGGACAGTGACTGTAATGGGGTATGTGGTTGGGACTCGATAATGGGGGAGTCTAATAACCATAATGTTGTTCAAGTAATTGTACATTAATGATATCAAAATTAAAAAATTAAAAAAAAAAAGAAGCATGGTCTGATATGCCATCCTTGTCTGAGACCAGATTTTCAAATGCACACTCAGTGCAATAAAACACACTCTCAGTTTCTTTTCTAAGTAACTGTCAGGACTTGCTTTTACCTCCTTGTTTTTAACACAGCTCTCTACAAGTTAGAGCATGAAGGGACTTTAGACACCCATAATCCAGTTCAACACTCTCACTTTCACAGCGGAGGAAACTGAAATTGAAATATTATGTATCTGATCCTGGGTCACCAGCTGTCTCAGCAGAAACAGACCTTCCTTCTAGTCCACAAACCTCTCTAAAGCTCAATATCCATGCTGTTTATAATTAGCACACACAATGTAGGTAGGTAACAGGGAAGGCAGTATAACACAGAAAAGACAAGTAGTGACTCTATAGCATCTTACTATGCTGACGGACAGTGTTTGCAATGGGGTGGAGGGGACTTAATAGGGATGAATGTTGAAACCACAATGTTGCTCATGTGAAACCTTCGTACGATTGTATATCAATGATACCTTAATTTAAAAAAAAATCCATGCTGTTAAAGAGCAGTCCCAGAAAATGCTGTTTTGATTATATAATAGTCAGATCTTATTTGTGGATTAGGTTTTTAAAAGACAACATGTAACAATCCAGTAAATATAAAGCTATTTTTGAAATCTTTCTACTCCCTTAGGAAGGTGCTGTGTTTGAGATCACATACCTTCTCATTAACTCCAACAATGTGAAGTTTTTCTCCAAAATAGAGATTGTTTCTTCAATCAAGGACCAGATTAAGCAGCTGTCTTGCTATTAGAAGCCATATTATCTCAAAACTCTTGGCTGATACTCAGCCCAGGATGCAAGACTGAAGCTAAAAGGTCAATAGATTCAGTGCTTCCATTTCATGCTAATTCTGGGCCTTTATCACTGAATAGATAGAAGTGAATCACTATTTTTTTTTTTTACTATGTTCTGATCAGGCACAAAATCCATTTTAATTAAACATATATATCTATACTCTGATGCTGTGAAAGGAACTTCTTGC